CTCACAAGAACATGAAATTGCTGTTCTTTTTTATCCAACACTCATCTACACTCATCTGTACCATTCCTAGGAGTTCAGCAATACGTGTTCGCCCCCGTCTGTCTGGTACCCACAGAACTGCCAATTTGGCTTACCTCTAGGTGGAAAATGCACAAGAGGGCGAAGGGCTTAGAGGTCTTAACAGTATAAGGTGGCCTTATTTACATTTTTTCCCAAGCAGTTACCTCTCTACGCAGCCCATCAATGAACCGGTAATCAGCGTCCCAAGTTTATACGGTTGAAGCAGGTTGGGCATTTTGCAGCTCGTTGACTGAACTTTCACTTTGACAGTTGAGTTAACCCATACTCAACCCGGGCCGGCTAGGCCAGGACTATAGCAAAAAGATATCGCAGTCGCGCGCCGCGAAATGCGCCCTGGCCCATGGACTCCCTGTGACTCAACTCTCTACAAGATAGGCTAACTATTTCGATACCGATGTCTACCTTGGCAGGTAGATCAAATCCCACTCGGTACTAATCTCTGTCCACCTGTGAGTTGATGAAAGACACAAAAGGAAGGTATGAAGGACAGCCAACAGCGGATACGAACTTCCCAGCGCGCAACTTAAACGCTCAGGGAAATCGGTTCGTGCAGAAGCCGGCAGTCTGACAAGTCAATGGCCATCATGTGCCAGTGTCTTGTCGAATAATTAGAGTCCCAGCGTCAGGTACCGAGGCACGAAGCAAACGCTGGCTCATCGCATACCAAGGAAAGAAGTACAGCCTACTTTGCCCTACTATGCAACCCGCAATATATAAAATCTTCCTTGCTGAGACTCTAACTGCAGAATTCAAACTCTTCAATCCACACTCAATCACATTGTGTGTTTAACGATCTGAAACAATGTCACCCCGGTCCTTCGTCAAGAATTTGACCTTCCAGTCGTGAGTGTCTGTGATCTCGTTCTGCATAAATTTCATCCGACTTGCTGTCGTTGCACAGCAACGACCTCGGCCAGGCCCAGACCATACTGGGTCCGTTGAAGATATTGCAGTTGGTTTGTTACGATCGCCATCTTTTCTTCTATCACCTTAGTGTATTTTCCACCCCCAGACTTTGTAAACAAAGGAGACATTATGCCCACGCCCGTACTCTACCTCAGCGATATTGGGTATGTCGTCTTTCATGAATTTCTCCTTCAGACCGTTCACAATAAAATGCAGAGATAGCAGTCGCGTCACGGCAAAGTTCACTCCGGTCCCTGCGCGTCTACATCACGTCCGACTACGAAGAGACCGATATTGTACGAAACCAAGTCGACACTCCTGCGATGTGGACGCAGGACCTCACTAACGCTTGCCCAGAGCACGACTTGGAACCTCCCGCGCGACCCGAAACACTGAATGTTACTCGATCGATCATGCTTGATTGAGGAATGCGACATCGATGCGCCTAGATGTTTGTTCTGTGGGGATCTGCATCAGTGTTTTCTCTTTTTCATAGCATTTTGTCCAAACCAATGGCTCCAATTGGTTCCTTATCTTTTTATGAGATTGCTTGTATGTCATGTATTTTCGTCTATGTGTTTGAACTCTTACTGCCACGTTGCCCAACTTACATATGACTCCTCTTTCCAGTCTATGCAAGGCTACCGTGACCTGCAACAGCCCAGTAGATCATCGACGAGAACATAGTATTGAAAGTCACTTATTCAGTGTATAGACTTGCTTTTCCAGAGCTCGGGCCGTGAATGGGAACACCATCAGCGCTGAAACCTCCGTGAACATCATCAACGTGAGTGACTCTAAAATTGCTAGAATCGACGCAGACCATGATGCAGAGCGGCGAGAAAACCCTGACAGAAGCCAATGATGTCTATCGTTTCTCTGTAAGTCTGGCTTCCGCTTATTTCATCTCGACCACCGACGAATATCTCGTTTGATTTAAACAGATAAATAAAGCCCATAAAAAAACGGAACTCTTGCAAAACACATGACACACGAAAAAGACAGGCAACTAAGTAAGGCCATTGGTTTGAACGAAGATACTATGAAAGGAGAGTAAACATTGGGATGAAGACCTTACGCAACAGATATTTAGACACACGAATGTCGCATTCCTTAATCAAGCATAGTCGATCGTGTAACGTCCAGTGACCGCGCCGCGTGCGAGATCTGAGATCGCGAGTAGTGTTCTGTGCAAGCGCAGCGAGGTCCTGCGACCGGTTCGCAGGGTGTCCACTTGACCTCGTAAGATTGCGGTCTCTTCATAGTCCGACTTGATGTAGGGACGCAGGACCGGAGTGAACTTTGCCGTGAAGCGACTATCATCTCGCAATTTGTCAAGGGGACGTAGAGGAAAGATGACATACCCAACATTGCTGAAATAGAGTGTAGGGCCCGGTACAATGGGCATCAACCAAGCGTCTTTGTTGAGCTGTCAAAAACTCACCAAGGATCAAACATAACCGGATTCCGAGGCGGTATTTGATCCCAGGAACATAGCTATTCAACGTTTCAACTCTCTCGCATCTGCACATTAAATCGCACCATCCATCAGTGAAACGGTGAACAAATGATGAGAGTATTTAAAGCAATATATTATTGTATTAGATACCTAGGAACAATCTTCGTAAATCTGCTGACCGCTTATATTTGGTATTGTCGAAGAAAGACATTTACAAGTACGGTAGCCCCAATACATAGCACTATTGTCTTCGCGAACTTTTGCACTTGGACGTATCAAGAACCCGACAAGAGAAAAAAAAGCACATGTTGAAGCGTGCCAGTCAATGGACCGGTGAATTCTTGCTGGCAATTATGCTGCATTTACATGGTATCCTCATCGTCGGTTGGAGGTCCATAGTACAGCCTCAGAGAGCAGAACTTTGTACCCAGACGTCAAATTGATTTGTAATCCGGCTAGATTCGTCAGCCGTCCCGATTGCGCTCGTACTCAGACATCAATCATTGGTCAAACATCTAATGTCGACAGGCACAGGGCTGCCTTTGTAGTGCATCTAGATGCAAATATCGATACAAACCTTATGGTATACGCCATGTAAACGTCAATGGCGATGAGCAGCCCTTACCTGTCAGCAAGTTTTTGCCGTGTAGATGCGGTCCGCGGAGGATGCGAGATGGGGCTTCAATTTTTGGGTGACCCGCAGGTATTCATCTTTTCTCGATTATCAATGGTTTCATGCTTAGAACGCACTTATACAAAACTAGCATTGTATTCTTCACACGCCCTGCGACTGAACAAGTGACTCGAAGCTGGGATCCACCAGCTGGTACGTTTGTGTGTGTGATCTCTCAATTTCAAATATTGAGCTCTATGTTCTCAAGGCTTGTGTTTGTGCAGTTTTCCTCCGTACGGAGGGAGACAGGGGAGACGTTAATATTGACAGGGACTATTATACGCTTGACAGCGTAGATGATTCCGAGTCGCATGTTCTAGCTTCGTTACTCAAGCTCTGGTTGCGTGAGCTATGGGACGCATTGATCCCTGAAGAGATGTACAACGACAATATTGCGCATTCTCGCGAACCTACGGTGAATCTGGCGCTGGTGATGGCACCGAACTTACTGAGGTGCAATCCAGAATCTATGACCGTCGTGTTTACACTGGCAAATGTTCAGTGCGCGTTCCGATAATGTTCTTGTCGATCCATGTTGATGTCTTTGCAGGTACGCGAAGTGTTCGCCTATAATCTTCTGATGGATAAGTGCAATCAAATTGACGCGGATTGTGTTCCAATCCATGGCCTTGGTGCCAGTCTGCCATGGCCCCCACAACCTCGCGTTTGTAAATCTCGCAACAGAAAGTGAAACATGCCTAACATGTTACCGTATATCCACTATCTTTTTCTGTGCTCTATGTGCACCATCACCCACCAGCTTGAAATTGCATTCACGTGCATAGAGATCTTTTTCAGTCCTTGCAAGTGTACTTCCCATCATTCATCAGAGTAGCACACACCCCCACCTCTCCTTGTGAATTACGACAAAAATGTGTAGGTTAATAGGCTATTTGAATTCCAGCTGGTCTTCGCCCAGCATCTTGGCATCCAGCAAATCATCCAGCCCGGTGACAGCTGTCCGTGATGAGTCTTGTTTCCAACGTTTTGGCTGCGACTTGGCAGAACTCCACTGGCCGAACTCATACCCGTCCTCCACATCCTCCTTGAGCGCATCGCCCTTCCATGCATCCAAAGCCGGCAATTTCTTGCCCGGCCTTTTCCCCTGTTTCCTTCTCGGCTCCTTGATAGTAAGCTGCTCGATCTTAGTCAACATTCCAACGACCTCTCCACTCCCAAACACAGACTCCTCTTCCCAAATCGTGCGCGCGCCTACTTCCCGCCTTAGTTTTTCGACGAGTTTCTTGGTTCTGCCATCCGGCTCGACGCCATTGACGCGCATCTCTTCGAGTGCGTCGTGCACGCCTCTGAGGTCGCGGAAACATGACCAGCGGGTTTCTATCAACTCGTTGTATGCGGGAGTGGTGCACCCGAATACGTAGCTTGGGATGCTTAAGTGCCGGGCGTAGTCGAAGATGGAGAGAGCCAGGTGGGGATCACGGTATTTATCACGGAAAGAGCGCATGAGGTGCGCGATGAGGTAGGGATAAGTCGGGTGTTGGAGTTCAGGGTGCATAGATGCAGGTTGTGGCGGTGGATTTGCGTCACTTGTGTTCGAGGTTGGGGTAAGGCCTGAAGCGGGCTGTTCCTCGGCTTTAGCAATAGCATTCCGCGCGCGTTCCTCGTATTGCTGAGACTGCCCAAACACCTCGCGCATAGACCATTCAAGCAACTGCTGATCCGTATCGCAAAGCTCCATTTCCTCCTTCTTCTTATCAAATTCTTCATCCGCCTCTGTCGTCCATTTCAGCCGTTTTGAGTGCCGTCTGAGTTTGCCGAATAAATCTGACGTTGGGGCGTGGCCGAATGGTTTGCGACCGATTCCGATTCCGTCGAGAACAGCGAGCGGGTCTTCTTGTTTTGAGGAGGAGAGTTTGGCGGAGGGGTTCTTTTGCTCTGAGACTGCGTCGAAGATCATGTTGAACATATCATCGAAGGCACTGATTTCGCGGGCGGTCATCGCCTGTCTGCGTGCCCGGGTGCGTCCTGAGGTTTCTACGCCGCCAACGCGTAAGTGATTGCCGACTGGGGAGGGGAGGATAGGTGGCATCTCTTTTATTGAGTCGTCCAATATGTGGTCCCAAGGAGATTCTTTGGCAGCAAAAATGGAGTCGGGTTGCGTGCTACTGCTGCTGCTCCCTGACGGCGTAGCAGAGGAGGTGATGCAGCGTGCAGCTGCCCTTGCAAGACTCGCACCTGCATAATTGGAGACTCGATGGTAGACGAGCATGAATGAGTATAGATATTCCTAATTTGACCAAAAATTGGTCATCCTTGAAACATACTTAGCAACTAGCATTTGCTCGACTAACCTATCTATGATGATATATCGTGTCTAATGGTACACCACTACGTTTCACATCGTCTTAGGAAGACCTTCGATGCATTCCCGAATGAGACGCAAAGTCTCGACCTTGTCGTACAACATGCACGTGCACTCAGTATTAGGGCACCTGGCATCCCAACATGCGATCGCCTCAGGCCAAACGGTCAATCCCACATCGACGACCGTGTCTCCTAGCGGTCGAACATCCATCTCCATCACGACTCTATACTTGAGCTCTCTCCACGTATGATGATCAACCTTCCATCTGCACCTCGGACAATATGCTGTCGTGCTTCCTGTCACGAACGGCTGCTCATTGAGTCGTTGCCGGATGCCCTCGCGTCGATTGCGATGCAAGTTCATCAAGTCAAGCACAGCGCCTGTGTGCAGCTTTCGGAGGATGGGTTGATATTCCTGTGCGTAGATGTTGAGAGTCAGCGACTGCGTGGATGCACGTCTGGTCTCCTCCTCCCATCCACAACGGGTTGCAGCTGCATACAGACGCAGAGGTTGGTCTGAGAGCGGAGGAGTCATGATAAGCACGCGTATGAGCGAGATGGGCCCTGGCATCTCGTATTTTTCTGCAGCGAATAGCAGTGCATCGACCTCGTCATACGATGTGAGTGGATTGATTGGCAGACCGCAGATTATACGCAGGAGACTCTCTAGTGTGTGCGAGTCCTCGTCTAGATTGATGACCTCGGGGTGATTCGGAAGAGGGTTTTGTTGAGGCATGGAAAAGAGGGATCGGAACCAGCCCGATGTCGTCTTGAGGGTCCATGAATGGATACGGAACAGAGTATGATCTTTGGCGCCGAGCACAACATCGGCATCTAGAGAAGAGAATGACTGGTGGAAGGTGCCGCCATAATTCAGCGCTTGGACTAAAGCTGTGTCAGGAATGGACTCCGTTTCCATCGTCGCGACTGTCGGTGTAATGAGATGACTAATAGTATAGCAGAACTTTAGGGCCCGGTCAGAACCTTGCTTCTGTCGATATCAAACGGCCTGACTTACGACGTGGTACCGTGCAGGTCTTGCAATTGGGGTTTTGTCAGGCTCGTCGAGGGTACTAGATGAGAACACGACCGCTCACATGTTGACCTGAGCCTTAAATATTTCAATAATAACCCCTGTCTACTTGTAATTAGACAACTAACAATCACACACAAACGCTGTACGCGTCATATGTGCATGTGAGGAGCTCGGGAAAATTCCTATTCAAGCAAGAATTTTCAGATCTAGGCGCCCGACCTCATCATGTCGAGTTTTCACTGGGTTCGGTTTCACAAAGCTAACATCTCGACATGCACACTCCAGAGATCCTGTTCAACATAATGAAAGATTTCAAACAGATACATAAAGCTCCATAAGAACTTCTACAACTCTCAATCTTTGTGAAATACATGACATACAAGCGATCTTATGAAGAGACAAGCAACTAAGCGAGGCTATTGGTTTGAACGAAGATACTATGAAACCACAGTAAACATTGAGATGTAGATATCACAAAACGGATGTCTAGGCGCACCGATATCGCATTCCTTAATCAAGCATGGGTGAGCGTGTAACGTCCAGTGTTCGGGTCGCGCGAGAGGTTCCAGGTTGTGTTCTGAGCAAGCCCAGTGAGGTCCTGCGACCAGATCGCAGGGGTATCGACCTGGCCTCGTAAGATAGAGGTTTCTTCATAGTCTGATGTGATGTAGGCCCGCAGGACTGGAGTGAACTTTGCCGTGACGCGACTGCCATCTCTGCATTTGATACTGTGAACGCTCTGAAGGAGAAATACAGGAAAGGTGACATACCCAACATCGCTGAAGTAGAGTACGGGTGTGGGCATAATGTCTCCTCTGTTTACAAAGCCTGGAGGTGGACAATACGCTCAGGTGAAAGAAGAGGCGACGAAGATGGTCACAAACCGACTGCTATTTCTTGGATACTCCCAGTGTGGTTCTGAGCCTGCAGGATGCCAGAGGTTCCCGTCTGAGGGGCCTGCACGAGGTATTCGTCGGTGGTCGAGATGAAAATCAACGAAAGCCAAACTTACAGAGAAATGATAGACATCGTTTGCTTCTGTCAAGGTTGTTTTCTCGCCGTTCTGCATCATGGCTTGCGTTTGTGCTAGCAATTTGGGAGTGGATGAGAGTCGCTCACATTGATATTGACGGAGGTCGCAGCGCTGATGACCTTCCCGCTCTCGACCTGGGCTCTGGAGAAAGCGAGTCTATACAATATATAAGCGCCTTTTCAAGACTATTGTTTTCGCCGATTATCTCACTGGGCTGTGTAGGTAGCGGTAGCCCGGTATGGACCTAGAAGGAGTGATCATATGTAAGCCGGCAACCTGGCAGGAAGAGAATAGAAACACCCACCCGACTTCCCGAATTTGCTGACTCTGAAAAAATTGCAAGGTTTTAAGTCGCCCCAGACAGAAATAGGCGCACTTACTTCCAAACTATCGGGAAGACGTCCTCGTAGAGGCCTTCCACGTTGGGACTCCAAGCGAGCATGATCGTGACCTCCTTGCCGAGGTCCTTGCTGCGAAACATCAGGTGAGCAATTTGTATAGAGCGAGATCGCGAACACTCACGACTGGAAGGTCAAATTCCTGACGAAGGGCCGTGGTGTCATTGTTTCAGATTGTGAAATACAAAGTGTACTGGTAGCTGAGATTGAGCGTGGATTGAAGAGCTTGAGTTCTGCGGTTAGAGTCTCAGCAAGGAGGCTTTTATATGTTTCGTATCACATAGGTTGTTTCTCTTTCCTTGGTTTACGACTTAGACAGCGTCTCCTTCGTGTCCGGGTACCTGACGCTGGAGATCCTAATTATTCAATAAGGCGGTAGCTCATGATGGCCCTTGAATCGGACTTGCTAGACAGCCGGCTTCTGCGCGAACCGATCTGGACGTTTGAGTTTGCGTGCTGGGAAGTTGGTGGCTGCCGTTGGAACTTGGCTGTACTTCAAGCACATGATGATGGCCCTTGAATCAGACTTGCTAGATAGCCGGCTTCTGCGTGAACCGATTTACCTGGGCGTTCAAGTTGCGTTCTGGAAAGTTCTTAGCTGCTGTTGGAACTTGGAAGCACATGATGATGGCGCTTGTATTACACCTCACCCTGCTAGACAGCCGGCTTCTCCGCGAAGCCGTTCCTTGGGCGTTCAAGTTGCGTACTGGGAAGTTTGTAGTTACTATTGGCTGTCCTTCATGCCTTCCCGTTGTACTTGGAGAAAGTTGAGTCACGGTTACGGTCGCAAGTAGGTAGTACACAAAAATAGAAGGCTATGGGCGATGCGGCTTGCAAGTTGTAGTATCGTTCAGAACAGTCAAGGCGCGTCCCTGCTCAGCTAGTTTTAGATCAACATCCGCACATCAGTGGACAAAATCAAATTACCTTCAGGGTTTGTCAATTCTAGAAAACGTCGTTGTCAAATGTCGACTTGACCTTATGGCCGTATTCTCGTAAATTACTTCACCTGTGTGTCAGCATTTATTAGTAACACTGATAGGCTTATCAGATGCTTTTTTACTAATCAGTGGCGGAAACCTATGCTCAGCGCGTTCGTTCACAAACATCGCTAGATTGGTCGGAGGACAATATGCAGAACATATTGCAAAATATTTTACATCTATTGTTCAATGTTGAACCTAAACAAATGATAAAAATTGTGATTTCCTACCAGATTTATTTCCAAATGAAAAATATATTGACATTAATCATGTTCTCATTGATCTACAACTTTCAGTGAATCTTTTGTAGCTTGTCAACCACTTCACATTATCTCCCATGAATTTGGAGTGTTGTAGATAGGGATGCACACAGGTAAACCACTTATGTTACCCCTTTTGAGATTATAATAAAGTACAATTTTGATTATAAATATGAGACTCAGAGGCACATAAGAGTTGGTGCTAGAATTGCTTAATCATTCAGATATGTCTGTGCAGGTTATATATACTTTGTATTACCACTGGGTTATGTAATCTCTGATGTATGGAAAGCCAGATGCTTATGCTCAACTATCAAGCAAATACTACTACCTCATATAGTAATCGGACCTTGAGCACCATACTGGGCATATTTACTTGTGTTGATCAGTGCAAACCTACTTGCATATTTGAATCTTAGTTGAGTGCATAGTGATGAAAACTGAAGGCCATAATACATATAGGATTTTCGGCAGCTTGTAGCACAGTGAATCGGTTGCAAACGTGTAGGGTACATGTAAGTATGTACCATCAACAATTTAAGGTTTCAGCCACTCCTTCAGCTCCTTCTGAGTCGAGCTCGTCACTAAAACTAGATCCAACAATACATTGTAACATGTCCAACAAATATATGCCAAATGAAAACCAGTATCGTTCAAACTACTCTGGCCTCAAACCCCTTGAGTTCAAACCCTGGCCATTTGCAGAAGTGGTTGCAAACATGGTAAGCCTCAAATTTACTGACTGCCTTCTCGATATTACCCCCCCCCCCTCCAAAGATATCTTTACTGTCACTAACCGAAGGGTGTGATTCTGATGTCAGAATTGCTGGTGTGCAACACATCAACATAGAACACATACCTTGATAATCAGAGATAAAGACCAACCCACCCATCGTGATGTATTGCACATGTTGTGTGAAGGCAAGAAACAATGTGAAGTCATACCCAAATTCATCCGGAACACGCAATGGGTCAGGATCCATGTTATAAATATATTTGATGAAACTCTCATCTCCACCATCAATAATTCTTTGAGGAGAAAGCCTGCATGTGCCGATGCAGCCTTTGATGCAGGCTTGCTACTATCTTGATAGTAAGATAGCGCCAGACCAGCTTCAACAAAGCGGACACAGGGAATATCAAATGGTACAGGCTCAGATGCACTTGCCACCACATGGTCAATAAAGTCGTAGACAAGCCCTAACAAAGCCTTTGCCCAATATAGGACATTTGCTTCCCTGAATAACTTTGGCAACTCATCTGTAAGTGCAAAGCGACCAATTTTGTACTCCAAACTTGCCAGTGCTCCTTTAGGATATACCTTGTAGAATGGACATTTGATGACAATGTCATGCTATGCCCTGGACCCAAGACCTGAGGTAGGAGGCGACATCAATGTCAGCCATCCTGTATGTGCCATCTTGAATCTGCCTATGCTGATGCGACCCTCAATGGACGTGTCAAGAGTGACATAGCCCACTGACAAATCAGCGTTGTCCACAGAAAATGAATGGTGCTGGGTAGTCTTCAAAAGGTCATTGAGTTGTCGAGTGGGGATTGAATAAAAGTTGATGTTTTCAGTTTGAAACTTGGAGACTTAGATCCAGGTGAGCACATCAAACACATACATCAGCAAATGACAACATACCCTGTCTCATGTCCAAAGTCCAAATCAGCACCTCCACCAATCTCCAGGGCTACTTTGAGGTCATTGTGATCAGGAGAGCAGAGAAGTGCAGGTGGGGGATTATGAGGGACACTGAACTTGTGAGGAAGTGAAACAGTGCCAGAGGTGGAACTTATTGTGCATTCATGAGTTTGCTTGATGGATGTACCAGTGGTGATAACTTGTGAAGCAGCAGATGATGTATCTGGTGGTGCTAAGTCGGAGTCAAACAGTGGGGGAGGGACTATGGTGGTGGCGGATGATGTGTCCAGCACCAACTCAGGGCCAAAAGTGGGTCTGCTGAGGTGAACGGTGGGTCAGTGGAGTAGGTGTATGATTCCACCGAGTTGGCACACAGTGCCTTGCCCTTGCCTTTACAACTTGAGTGTTCGATTGCCTATACAATTGTATAAGTCAGCATGTGTGACAATTATACAATGAATAAACATACCATTTCGTTTGCTTCTTGCCAATCTTCAAATTCTATCCATTGAGCCTCCGGCATAACTACCATAAGGCTAAATTGTTTTGTCTTGAATATCGGGGTTTTTGCTGGACCTTTGCAGGCAGGCTGAAGACACTGTGAGTAGAAATAGGGAATGGATGGCTGGTGTGTCACAAGATCAACCCATTTTAAGTCTGACACAATAAATTCATGGTCGCGCTGTAAAGAGTAGATTCTATGTGGGCGCTACAAATATGTTACCTTAAGACTCAGAGTGCGAGTGAGATGTTCGTCCCAAAGAGACTGCCAATAGAAATGCTCCTTGATATAAAGCAAGGGATATCTTGTTAAGATCGAAGTGAGAGAAGGAAAGTTACCAAGAGTGCACTCGGTGTTCCGAGGATGTGTCCGAAATACCAAAGTACTCGTCCGAAGTGGTCCGAAGGTGGTCCGACGTCAAAAAATGAAGGTCCGGAGTTGCGTGAAGCGTCCAAAGAGCTTCCGATGAACAGCAATGGTTCCGAGGTAGAAGTACGGCATGTATGTCGAAGTGTAAGACTTGCAAAGTAAAACTAAGCAAAGCCCATCGGGAAAACTAAGAGATAGCGAGATGCAAAATGGCAGTGGTCAGGCCAAACAATCGTTCCGAATGAACAAGAAAGATCGATTGCGCAAAGTACGACTATCCGAAAGTGACTCTACTGACTATGACTCATAGCAGGGAAAGTGAAGTGAAGTGCAAGTAGCTAGCGAGGCAGATTATATCTTACAGCATGAAAGTCCAGAAACTGCATAGGCGAAACTAGTAGCGAGATAAGACATCCGAAATGTAATAAGACTCAAGGCGAGCCGCTCAGAGATATGCATGCAATAAGGCGCAAGGCGTGTTTGTTATACGTATAACTGATGGGCCGACACATACGTGCCCCTAGACATAATCAATAACAGATAACCAAGTGAAAAACGCACCAGCGAAGTCAAACGGACACGGACGGGACATGGTCCGGAGGATCGGAACTGTATTCAGGCCTCGGAATTGGATGGATGACCTTTGGATGACTCGGACGAATGCATGGAACTCTCGGAAGGTAAATGGAGTGTCGAGGAATGTGTATGTGGAATACCTATGAGTTTGGCAGGATATGAGCCCAATGCCGATCCGAGTGCTACACCAGTGTGCTAGATTCGTTCAACTTTGACACTCCCCCTCAAACCTAGAACATCCTAAGTCCACATATATGTTGGTGATGTACAGGTTGGGGTAGTGCTTTGTAAAGATGTCTGCCATCATTTGTGCAGTAGGACAATACTTCAGTTTTATTAGTTGATTATCAACTTTGTTTTGGATATAGTGATGTTTTAAATCAAAATGCTTCATTCTTTTGTGATACTGTGGGTTTTGTGCAATCACAAACATGCCAGAGTTGTCTGCATACAACAAGGTAGCCTCCTTCTGCTTGTATCCTAACTCCAAGTATAGATTTTGGAGCCATACTGCTTCTCTTACTGCATCTGAGAGACAGATATATGTATCAGCTGATCCTGTCAATATGATATATTATATTAGTGTGATTGAAGCAAATCCATGATATATCCCTGCCATTAGGGTTTAAAAGTCCAGTTGCACAACCGGTCAAAGACCACAGACCAAACCATACCACAACTTTTTAAGACCGAATTTTCAGTCTTGGTTGCCCTTAATTTGACATCTTATGGTTGCTGGTTGCCTCATTTGACCTCTAATATCAGACCAATGAAAAGTCGATCACAACCAGTCTATACCAGAACCGGTTGCCTGAAATACAAATATTCAGCTATGAACATGACTTGGATATACAGACTAATATGAACTGGTCTCGACTTCACCAGCTTCATTCTCCCACTCCACCATGTCCTCATCCACAAGAAGGGAATCTTTGAACTCATCTAGTGAAATCTCCTCAACAATACCTGAGTTTGCTTGAGCGGAGTCAGTGAGAGACTTGCGCTATGAGAATTTGAGCATTTGTAACTGTTCAAAGTGTTTGGCACTGAGATAAGAGCAATGGGCAGTGGTGGTCTCCGCCCCACCTGAAAAAAGTTGTTTGCAGAGTACCAATGATGTGGAAATTGCACAGATGTCCATAGCAATTCTTGCAAGTGTAGAATATATAGAAGAATGTTTCTACATGAAATAATTAGTCAAATACACAAATATAAGTGCGAGTGCACTTACAGACCACCAGTCAACAATGTCTGTGTTCTTCGAAACATCGGGCATGTCCTTGAGGTATCTCCAAAGTTCTGCAGCCCAGATGACATCATAGTCCAGTGTTGCTTGTTCAAGAAGCAAGTAGCGATGATGGTCAAATGCAGATTCCATGGTGGTATCATGAGAGAGAGTTGTGGAAGTATTGGGAACCAATGCAGTTGCTAATGGATGTGTGGTGGTAGTAGAGAAGGGACACATTTTCCAATAGTTTTCCATAGTGGTCTCTACAATTTTCAAAGCCTCGTTATACCAATCCTTAGCATGAGGGTTATCAGCTGCACGCTCACATTCTTGCTCTTCGTGTCCTCCCCAAGTCATCTTGATATATTCCAGTTTATAGTATGGATGAAGAACTATACTATCTGTTAGTCTAATCAATGGAAATATAGTGTATAAGTACTCACCAAGCACAAGCACATACACAGGTTTGTTGTCCATCTTTTGATAGTACTTATTGACCTTATCAAGTCCCTTCTGAATGGCGACCTTGTAGAGTTCATACTTTGGTGTTTCACGTTTCACACTTCCATTCCCATGCCATCTTCAGCTCCTTGGAAGCAGGGATTGTGCACCACAGAGTTGGTTGACTTTTAGAAGAAAAATACTGCTGGATTTTGTTAGCGTCCTGTGGAAGTATTAGTATTAGATATATACCATAAAAATGAACATACTGAGATAATGATGCGTGTATCTTCAACATGGTCCCAGTCATTGCTCTCAAAGGTGAAGGCACTCCAGGAAATGTGTTTTGTCAGTCCAAAACGCTGGATGGTAGTGATGGGGCCAAATAGCTCGTCTGCAGTGTTGATAAACATATTTATAGGCTGCACAAATGGATTGGTGATGTAGTGTTATAAATCAAATTATTTTGCTTACCTGTCACAAGAGATATGCACGTCCGAGCATACTATCAGCTGTTCCCCAGCATATGTTGCCATGGAGAGATATCTTGAGTGGGGTCTTGAACCCACACTTCACTTGAAGCATCTGAAAGTATTTGATTCATTGACTCAAGCACTGTTAGATTGTTAGGTTTGTAAATATTGATAGAAAAATGTGAGACAGACCTTAATCACAACAGTGTACACAGTGGCAACAACATCTAGTGAGCCTTCTAAGACTCAATTGTTGGGCAGCAAGGGATCAAATTCCCAGATTGCAGTAGTAGTTTCCACAGCAGCGATGAGAGAGATGACAGACATAATAGCAACAATAGTGAGATTAAGAATATGAGCAAGGCAGGGGAGGCAGTGTTGACTAGAGCTGAATGAGTAGATGTGGCGGTAATGTAGAACATGCTCTATCTTGTTGCATGTTGTGTCATTGTTGCTCATATTGTCAGCTGTTATGGTTAATAGCTGTTGTATGGTATATGAAGTTAATAGTAGCCACCACAAGCAAAATATAACAAGACGTACCTTTGTAGATTGTCCTGATATGATACACACCTGCTTACATAAGCCAACTATGTATCTTCCCAGATTCACTCCACTATGGGCACCAGACATGCCACAGAATGCAATGACTTGTGATCACAGATTCCAATTTTTCTTCTTAACCTCAATCCAGTGTGCAGTGAGCCCAAGGAATGATTCCTTCATTTGGTCAATAGACCAGAGATCCATAGATGTAGCGACATGACCAGTAGTTATGGACTAGAATACATTAGAAAATGCAATCACATCTATGAAAAAACTTACCTGTATATTGGCCTTGGTACCTTTGATGAGCTTGATAAATGCATTGCGAATATAGGTTGTAATATTGTGTGTTGAAGGCAATTCTGCTGTAGTTGACGCTGGATGCATTGCAACCAAGCAATTTCTAAATGTGGTTTTGTTTGCCACTGCTAGAGACTGGTAACCATTATCATTAATATTTACAACACACTGAAAGATCTTACTTGATCATCACAAACAATAAATTCTACTACTGTGTGCAGCATGCTATCCTTTGAAAACTCTTATTTCTTCTTAGCCTTCTAGAACAGTCTGTCTATCTTCATATGCTTTCCTTTTGATCCATTTGACGCTAAATTTAACAACTCGCAAGGGATTGCATAGTGGTGTTCAGTGATCCCTAGCTCCTTACATTTAGCCTGGTAGAACTCGTAGTGGCCATGTATATGTTGATGACACAATAAATAACTGCCTAGGTGAAACACTTTACACATCCCATTCTGCTTTACAAAGATTATGTCATTTCTTGGAATGTATGGTAAGCTTTCTGTTTTAATATATCTCATACTAACTTACTTGCAAACTATACACCAGTGCCCTCTCTTTGTATCCACTGCACCTTCAATACTGATGAACTTCACTGTGCATTTCTGTGTGAACATAGTAAGTAGATCATTAGCCCACTGTTTCTTTGTCACCAATGGAGCTGGAATATCAGCCTTGTGCCGGTTATCACACATAGTATGAGCTGACAGCAACTTTTTTTACAGTAGGCTTTACTTATAGCATCTTCACCATCATCATTCTCAGTTTCCTGACCACTCTTGCCATCAGACTTGTGGTTAATGACCTCAACCTCACTCTCTGTGACATTTCCAATATTGTGCACTTCTTCAATCTCCATTGCGGTGCTTTTTTCTTTCTGACTATGTTTGGAGCTGGCATTTTTCTTCTTCTTTAAGGTATGCCGCTGATGTTCATAGAGGCTCTCATTGCTGCTATCAGAGTCTTCATCACTGACCATCTATCTTTTTTGTTTAGAATTCTTGGTGACTTGGGAGGCCTTAAATGAGGGCCTGTCTGGGTCACATGCTGTGTTTCAGAGCCAGTGAGGGCCTTTGCTGTTATTGTTCACTTGCATGAAGACTTCCGAAGATTGCCTTGATTCAACATAGTCAACCAACCACAAGCAGATATTGGTTTGTTTTGAGGCAGGGCTTCAAACTATGCTATGCTATACTCATACTATCCTGCCTGCAAACATGTTATATAGTTACCAATTTTGCCCATAGCAAACTTCTGTCATTTTACAAACAGTCCTAACCAGTCCTAACCAGTCCTACACAGTTACAGACCAGTTGCAGATGCAACTAGTCGGCAACCAGCTGTGAACCACATTGCCACTGCACTTAACCAGTTTCTAAGAGTTCAGTTCAGGTTGTAGGACGAGGTCAGTGAGTGTACACAGACCATTTTGGGTTCAGTCTTTTGAAAATTGGTCAAAAGACTGGACTTAACTGGACTTTTAAACCCTACTATCAACCATGAAGATGGAGGGATTGTTCACCGTGACTGTCATGATTTTGTCGTGCATGCGCTGCTCCAGCATTAATTTAGATTGCTGCCATATGGTGGTCTAAGGTAGGCCAATGAGTAAGCTATAAATAGTGTCACCATTCCTGAGAGGGGCTCTGGAGTCATGAAGACATTCATGAAGCATGGCATGCTGACCAACATAATTCATCATGTTGGCTGAGTCCTTCATATGGAGGGAGTCAAGACATTAATATAACTGGTACTGTGCACTTGTGTTAGTTTGATTAAAATGCTCTGCAAGCATCCACCACACTTTGCGGGCTGAAACAGCATGCGACCATGATATGAGTGCACCAACTGATGGACTAAGTCGACATGTGATAACTTGGTCCTTGGCCTTTATGTCATTCAACAACCACTCATGCATCTCTACTCTTTCAGCAGGCATAATTAGGGATCCGCACGGGTATACCCCAGGGTGTCAGGGACCTGACCCACACCCGCACCCTTCGTGCGGGTGCGGGTTTTTGGGGGGTATGGCCAGCTTGTACCCTCACCTACACCCGTGCAGGGTTTACCTGTGGGTAGTACATATAAATATTAAGTTAGAAATATGAAAAAAGGGATTGTAAAAAAGGACTTACTAAGACATTGCAAATGGTGGGCAACGACTTCGATCAGTATGGCTTGAGCTCGACGGAGGATTGACATGCTGTGAACGACAAACAACAACATTGATCAGTATGGCTCTTGCTCAAATGAGGATCAACACACTCATGTTCTGTGAATGTTGGGCTACAACTCAGTGTATCAGCATGGCTCTTGCTCAAACGAGGATCGACACACTCACGTTCTGCGAGTGTTGGGCTACGACTTGGATTAGCATGGCTCTTGCTCGAATGAGGATCGGCACACTCACCAACTGCGAACAGCAAGCAATGACTTAGATAAGCATGGCTCTTGCTCAAACAAGGATTGACACACTCACTTCCTGTGAACAGAGGGCAACGACATGGATCAGCATGGCTGTTGCTTGAACTAGGATGGACACACTCACTTCCTGCAAATGGCGGGCAACAACTTAGATCAGCACGGCTGTTGCTCGAACTAGGATGGATACACTTGCATACTGCGAACGGCGGGCAATGACTTGGATCAGCATGGCTGTTGCTCAAATGAGGATCGACACACTCACTTCCTGCGAACGGTGGGCAACAACTTAGATCAGCATGGCTCTTGCTCAAATGAGGATTGGCACACTCACATACTGCAAATGGTGGGCAACCACTTGGGTCAGCATGGCTCAAGCTTGAAGGTAGGTGTTGTGTTGAAGAAGATGGAGGGGTATAACACACTATAGTAGGCAGGTGTAAGCATTAGCAATAGGCAGTTGAGTACAAGTGTAGTAAGTACCACTATAGTTCTAGATTAGGTAATGTACCAGTCAAACCCGAGTGCGGGTGTGGGTGAGGGTCCGGGTACTCAAAGTGCGGACCCCCACCCATACCCCAGTAGTACCCATACCCATGACCCACACGGGTTACCCATGCTATGCATATGCCTAGGCATAATGTTTGTTAGATTGGCAGGAGTAGTGCAGGGTTTACAATCATGTTAATGTGGCACCATAAGTCTTCGCACATGAGTGCATATTGCATTTTGGTTGACCACCCGACATAGTTTTCTGACCCTAGCAGTTCATGTTACGAACTTGGATAGCTCTCACGGTACAAGCACGAATGTGCTGCCGAGTACCGAGCATATCATAGCCTCAACAGAATGTCAAGGGTTCCCTCCGGTTATCTTGGTAAGGCACACCTTGTCAAGATACAGGGCTAGTGGGATCGACTAAGATAGGGAGTGCCTTTCTTAGAAGTGCGGTCAAGACAACTAAGTTGGGGACTTAGTTGAGCAGGATTCAAGGGAAAACCAAGTAGATCAAAGTGAAGAAATACAACAGTGATCTGTCTACTTATATATGCTGTACATAAGGGTTCAAGCTCGGTCTGTATCTGGGGGATCTATGCTAGTCATGGTAAGTCAGAGATAAACAGTACATGAGGTGTCTTACTAGGATGTGATTGGCAATAAAATCACCAGTTCTCACTATCCTCCACGGTCAACGGTTCAGACAAATACCAATGGTTGATAACGTGGTCGTTCGTGGGAGGAGGCGTAAATAGCTGGGTCAATCTAAACAACTTCTAATGACTTTAGGTGGGTTGAGACAGTGACCGTTAACTGGCTTGATGCAGTGCTTAGGTACTTGGAGGTCGATAGTCCGTTAACTGGCTTGATGCAGTACTTAGGACGGTGAAGATAAGGATCGTAAATGGTGTAGCCGAATCGATAACTGGCTTGATGCAGTACTACGATGCTACTAAAAGAGGATTGCAAAGGTGTGCAATATGAAGATGAAGATATGAATCACACAGTACACAATGAATTAGAGTAATATCTTGTAAACACTCCCTATTCTCAAAAATTAGAGGAGATCAAACTAAGCCTCTAACACAATCAAATCAACCAAAATATGTGGCTTCGAAACTAACTTCTCTGCTGCTCAGGCACCCACGATGAGTATGACGCAGAATCAGAACAGAGTACACCCTCTTGATGTAGTCTTAAAGCAGCCAAGCTCTTAATATTGTTGAATAAAGTGCTAGTCTTATTTGTTGTCCTCCTAATTGTTAAAAATACGTAAATTCTCCCCACAGAAAAGGTATCCTGTGTTTGTAAAGAGAATGTGACAAAACTACAACTAGATGACTCATAACTGTGCACCAGCTAGTGTAATTCAAGGATTGGCTCAAGGTAGGCCTCAGAAGGTCAGTATGTTGTGGGAAATGATGACAAAAGAATGGAGGGAATAAACTAATATTCACTCAGATGTTCACACAAATGTAGGGTGAGAAATTCAGGAAGATACTCAAATCCTCCTCCCTCTCTCTAAAAGGGGGATGTCTGTCCTCTCAAAGGAAGCTTATTTCAAAAGGGAGATTGTCATTATTCAGAGGGGAAACTGGGCCCCTTATATACTACTCTAAATGTGGCTGTGTAACTATCTATTTGAGGAAATATGACTCATCCTAACTCATACTGAGTCATATTAAAGATGACTCATAGTGACTCAGACAGAAAATGACTCATAATGACTCATACTGAGTCATAGTTGAAATGTCTCATGATGACTTGTTCACTTCTCAAATATTCCCATCTATCAACTTTCTTCCTTCAGTTTCCTGACTAATCCATCTCATCTTACTAATCCATTTCATCTGACTAAGCCATTGATCACACATGAACTGTTGAAATGTTGAAATGCTACCGTAAATATGTTTCAGAACATACAGAAAAAATGTGAAGAATTTGTAAAAAAAACAATCATAAGATTGTGAGAGAATGCTGACTAATGTGTTGTGGTATGTTTGGAACTTTATCTTTAGATTGGATAAGTGTTAATTGAATTATTATGTAGTATTATGAGTTTGTTATGTCTGAAAATTACTCAAATCAAATCATAATGTGTTATAGAAAATTCTCAGTAATTTCGTAAAGTATGGTAGAGAACGTCAAAGCTAAAAAGTAGCCATGACCATGCACAAAACAAGTTTGGTGCGTGTCAGAGGTCGTCCATGAGGTTAGATAAGATACATGAGGATCAACCTCTAATCAAGCATGAGGCGCCTAGAGGCGCTCCAGGTTTACATGAGGCGGCATGAGGCAACATGTGCCGGTCTAGGTATGCATGAGGCAGACAGCCTTCATGATCATCAGGGGCAGGCCTTCTAGGCCAGGGGGATGTCATAGCAGTCCAGACCACTGTCATTCTAGGTTCTGGCAGCGTGCCACTGTGTCAGTGAGTCTAGCAGAGCAGGAACTCATGCAGATGTTAAAGTTGACTGTAACAAGTTCAGGGATGTGATCATACTTCCCCATGACAATACCACCATGAGGAATGACAAGATGAGGAGTGAACATGCGAGCAGTGAGTGAATGCAGGAGCTAGATCTAATAGTTTCGGTTGAGGGCTCATAACCTATTGGAAACAGAACTAAAAGATGTGGGATTACATAGTTTTCAATGTCATTTACATCTTGTACACTACTTGTATTTATACTATGACTTCACTAATAAAAAGTACCGGTCCACATAATGAACATAAGTATTTGTAAGTAGGGCACTGCATATTACGAAGAGTGGAAGATCCATAACATTAGCACTCGCATCATACTCCAACAAAAGAATATGCTCAGAGTTCAGGAGAGAACTGCTATGATATTAATATTACCTAAAAGAATATCCTAAAGATGGAAACAAGTGAGATGGAACCAGCATGCAAGATAAACATAGAATGTGAGAAGTACGAGACAATGAGCAGTGGAATAGATTCCTGTCAACAGTCGGTACAAATTCCATACACAAAGTAGACTATTGCATCTAAGTGAGTATATAAGGTACCTACCTCGTGTACTGCATGCGGCAGGCACGAGTACGTTTGCTTGAATATTCCAACATAGAACATACCTCAGAGTTCAGGAGAGAACTGCTGAGGTGTGAGCAAAACAGGAACAAGGGTTATAAGGTAAAATTATGGAAGGGTAAACATAAACAAACAGAGTGACGATGTTGCACCTACAACAGGGCCTGCACATCACTAAGTGGCTGTACCTTCATTTTGTAGTATGCTTTCGAGTACATGTTATCTATCTTATCTTCGAGATTGAATGAGATGCAAAATATTATCATTAATCAAAACATTTGGTTCCATATTTTGTAGGTTGATAAAAACGGAATAAAATAATAACAGTAAAATGCATCTCCACCAATCGGAGGAGTACGCCACTGAAGTCATAAACATTCGTAAGTGTCCATGATGCGCTTAACTTACAGCTGATTCCAAACTATGCGGAATCACAAAATCAAAACTTGCGCGTCGGAAATGTCCAGACAAGGACCCCGTAAGCGTGTGAGTGAGAGACTTGCAGCGCTTGATTGCGACATTGACTCTGTGTTGTCCAATGCCGCCGCACACCGTTTCTGATGATTTAAAGGCTCGAATCCCTGTTTTACGTCGACGCGGGCACTCCGTCAAGCATATCTGTTATCTACTTGGAGTCAAAAAGACCCTTGTATACAAAGTTTTGCGGCTCTTTTCCCCAACTTGGAGCAGCATCCACAGCAAGAATACAGGCCGCTGTCGCACCCTGACCATTGATGATCTTGCTTTTATCACTGCAATCCTTCGTCACCGACCTACTATCTATCTCGATGAGTTACAACACGAATTGCACTCTCGCCACAGTGTGTCTGTGTCTGTGCAAACACTTCTCCGCACATTTTGGCGGTTACATCTCAGTCGCGAATGCATCTCCGCTTATGCTCTTGAACGGAATGAAGAAAAATGTGCTATTTTTATGAATAGTATTGCTGAAATTGCACCTGACCCTGAAATGTTAATGTTTGGTGATGAGGCCGCAAAAGACGAGAGAACCCTCATTCGACACTATGGCAGATCAAGAATTGGAACAAGGTATGTCAAATTTTACTTCGATTGTCCTGTAATAACTAGTCTATACCAGATGCATACAAAGGAAGTGCTTCGTGCGAGGCAAACACTACTCAATCCTGCCAATACTCACTCTTGATGGAATTATTACCTATGATATCATTGAGGGACCGGTGACAAGTGAACGATTTGCACAATATATTTCTTCTTCTCAGTGATCCTATAGTGTGATTTGTTGTGCTTCGCGAGAATTATAGTCAAAAATTCAATGTAGTTGGGCTCAGAGATTTGAAAGACGAGTTCCTTGACTTTGGTAGATTTCACTTCCTTGGTTTTTGCTTTGCCATTACTTTCAGTAGTAATCTTGGTGTATGTATCAAGGTGAATAATGAAAGTAGCCTTGAATTCAGGTATCTCTGGGGAGGAATCTGATGGTGACAACATTGTCATGTAGTGAATCGCATATGTACACTAACACTACTGCAAATGTCTCACTCAGGTGCTTATGGGGTCCTTGTCCGGACATTTCCGACGCGCAAGTTTTGATTTTGCGATTCCGCATAGTTTTGGAATCAGCTGTAAGCGTTCATTTCAGTGGCCCTTGGTTTCAAAGCGAATTCGGAAACCGCCGATGTGTAAGAGTCTTTAATTTGTTCACTGATGCGCTTGATCTAAGATCAGCTGAGCAGGCGAAGCGCCTTGAACGTTCTGAACGACACTCGCAGCAACTTGCAATGTACACAAGTCATCAGTGAACCCGGAACCGGTGATCGGCGAAGTCAAGTCCATGTGCCGGTTAAAATTGGCAGGTTCAGCGTCTTGCAGCTCGTTTGACTGAACTTTAACTGTTACAGTTACTAATTCATACCACACTCAACCTCGGCGGGCCGGCAAGGTCAGTACTATAGCAAAAAGATGTTGCAGTCGCGAAATGCGCCATGCACCATAGGTTGCTGTTCTCATATACTCCTACTTGCGACCGTAACCGTGACTCAGCCCCCAACTAGTACAAGCACAATTGGAAGGTATGAAGGACAGCCAACGGCAGCCACGAACTTCCCAGTGGCACACAACTCAAACGCCCAGGTAAATCGGTTCACGCAGAAGCCGGCTGTCTAGCAAATCCGATTCAAGGGCCATCATGTGCTACCGCCCTGTCGCATGATTAGGGTCTCCAGAATCAGGTACCGGGGCACGAAGGAGACGCTGGCTGAATCGCAAACCAAGGAAGGAGGTACAACCTATGCGATCCAAAACATATAAAAGCCTCCTTACTGAGACTCTAACTGCAGAACTCAAGCTCTTCAATCCACGCTCAATCTCAACTACCAGTACACTTTGTGTTTTAAACAATCTGAAACAATGTCACCCCGACCCTTTGTCAAGAATTTGACCTTCCAGTCGTGAGTGTTCGCGATCTCGCTCTGCACAGATTGCTCACCCGACGTTTCGCAGCAACGACCTCGGCAAGGAGGTCACGATCATGCTCGCTTGGAGTCCCAACGTGGAAGGCCTCTACGAGGACGTCTTCCCGATAGTTTGGAAGTAAGTGCGCCTACTCGTGTCTTGGACGATTTAAAACCTTGCTATTTTTTTCAGAGTCAGCAAATTCGGGAAGTCGGGTGGGTTTTCCTGTTCTCTTGCTGCCAAGTTCCCGACTTACATATGAGCCCTCTCTCCAGGTCCATACAGGGCTACCGCGACCTACACGGCCCAGTAAGATGATCGACAAGATCAATAGTCTTCAAAGTCGCTTACATATTGTATAGGCTTGCATTCGCCAGAGCCCAGGTCGAGAGTGGGAAGGTCATCAGCGCTGCGACCTCCGTCAATATCAATGTGAGC